TACCTCCTTTCCCCTTAATGCTTTTCTATTTTCAACTCTCACTTGAAAGAACCAAAAAATTAATTTAAAAATTAATGTATCATGCTTGTTCATAGTTCTTTTAACAATCTCTAAGTAATTAGAATATATATTTTTGTCAGTACAGCAAAATGGTCTGAGTTTTTCACATACACATCACCGGCAATTTTTACTTACAAAAAAGACAGTAGGTAGATATCATCTTAATTTCATAGATAAAAAGAAGTAACAAGAGTTGTGGAATGTAGTAGCATCACCTTTTAAACTTTGCTCAGAGACAGAGTTGAAAAGTTAATACTATATGATTTATATAAAGAGTAATCATTTCTATGTTTAAAATCCACTTTGACCTCTATCTTCATGAATATTATTGGGTAATGATAGCACACTGTTGAGCTATTTTTCTTCCTTAGATAACACAGTCATTAGAGTTCTTAAACTGTCTACTGGGTCTTGCTACTTTTAAAGAAATTGATTAATTGTATAATTTACCACCCAAATTTATTGGCTCCTGGGATAAAGTTACTTTTTAGATATAAAGAGAAATTTACAACACCAGTTTTTTAAAAGGGAGATTACTCCATAATTTTAGGACATGAAAAGATAGAAATATACCATATTTGAAATATAGTTGATGTTATATGAAGAAAATGATTCTAATTAATTCTATGTAAATATGAAAATGTAAAATGTTCAGAGAATGAGGGGGAGTTTTTGAAGTCAAAATGATAAAAGAAAAACTTGAATCTTGATGGATTTCACTTGAACTACTCAAAATTATCTGCACATTTTTTTTTTTGTACTAGATTTTTAACCCAGGGGTGCTTTACCACTGAGTCACATTCCCAGCTCCTTTTATTTTTTGAGACAGAGCCTCACTAAATTGCTGAGGCTGGCCTTCAACTTGCAATCCTCCCAGCCTCCGAAGCTGCTGGTATTAGACATATACAACCACAACCATCTGCACCTTCTTTTTAAAGTCTAACTATGTGATAAAAGAGAATTTGAGTTGAATAAAAGAAGTTGGAATCTCCCTTAACTTTAGTATGAAGTTGGCTCATATTTGAGAGCTGCTTTTTAAATATCCCACATTTGACAAAGTTAATTATTTGGGAAATGTTAAATATATCTGGGTCAAAGTGAATCCCCCCACCACTCCCCGAGGGGAGGGAGAGAAGGAGAAAGATAGAGACAAAAAGTTTATTCCAGATACTTAGACTAGGTATTTATTAAGACATAGGAAAAGTCCATCTCCAGAGTTAGCATTTTATAATTCCTGAAAATTGTTAACAAAACTACCTTTTTTGTTTGTTGTT